GCGGGTTCCAAAGGGAGACAGAGGCGGTGACCTCTTCCCATCCACAGTGAAGCAGGCAGAAGAGAGCGGGGGCTCACACGTGTCCCTCCCTCGGCCTCCAAACAGCAGGTGACTCTTCAGCCCTGGGCTCCCAGGAATTATGTAAGTTCTTCTCCAGGCCCGAGAGGGTTGTACCTTTCTGGGGACATGGCCACCGTCCCCTCAAATGCCAGGAGAAAGGTGACCGGCATACAGAGTCAGCCGGAGAAGTTCCGCTTCTCCTGGATTCAGGAGCGCCGGGGGTTTCTAATGAGGGGTGCTTCGATGCCCCTCCTGAAGAAGGCTGCCCATAGGTAACCCACTGGCTGAAGACTCCTCTGTTCCCTCTTGCTGGGCCACGGCTGACAGAGGGACGTGGAGGACCAACTTCTCTATGGTGGATTCCCAGACCCAAAAGAAATTAAGAAAGAAAGAAAGAAAGAAACAAAATGCCCCAAACAGAATCAACTCAAAACAAAGCCAGGGGGGCCTTGAGGATAATAGAGCCAACCACCACCTCCTCCAGGTCCCCCCACATGGGACAGCCCCATTGGATCTTCCCAACGGCTGGTTTACAGCACTGACTGGCCCTCCTCTTGGTTACACGTCTGGCCTGCAGGGCAGAAAGGGCTCCCTGTCTTCATGGAAACACCGTTTTGCTTTTATGCCCTGGGACGGCTCACCCCCAGCCACCCCACCCCCACCCCCACCCTGGGGTCCCTGTCTCCCAGCAATGGTGGGAAGCACAGTCATTAACCAGCAAAGAGCTCATCCGAAAGACCTGCCTGGGTGGTGCAGCTCTACGGTCTGGGGGCAACCCCTTGACTCCCTCTGAAGCCTCCAGGTCCCATTCTTGAAGAGGCAACAGTGGTAGGCTGCTATCCCACCTTCTGGGAATCCTGGTAGTGGGGCAGAGGGGCTCGTTGGAACCTCCTTCCGATCTCGGGCCAAAGAGACAAATGAAAACACACCAAAGAGCCGCGCCCCGTTTTGAGTTGGAGGGCTGAGCCCCCCAACAGCGAGTGTGTCTCCCCTGGTGGTGGGCGGTCGTGATGCTAGCTGTTGTTCTCCGCCGTGAGATACTTGAGGGCGGCGAAGCCATAGCGCCGGGACATGTCCTGCTGAAACTCCTCCTTCAGGGTTTTGAGACAGATGCGGTATTGCTTGTTGGAGCGGAACTTGGTGATGTCGAAGCTGGGGGCGTGGGGCATGTGAATCATATAGGCGTTGGGCAGTACGATGAACTCATATTCCTAGAAGAAGACAAGAGCAGCATGAGCACCCACAGGAGCCCTCATGGGCACATGAACACCCAGAGGGAAGGGACAGCTAGTGAATCGGTGAGCGGCACCAAGACCCAGGGTGCACCGTGGGAAGCATGCCAGCGCTGGAATGCCACCATCTGGGGCCACTGCTGTGACCTTGGATGGATGGCTCAGCTTCCTCGATTCTTTCCGTGTCCTCCTCTATAGATTAAAAGCGATGGCCCTTGAGCCATTTCTGTAGGGATGAGGCACCCAGCTTCTGGGCCATAGAAGAAGGTTCTTGATGGCGTGCATGCACGTGCACATGCACATGGCCATTCTAGGATGGTGCCAACCATGGGGCGTCTCTCGCTCAGTTCACTGACATGGGTCTCTGTGGTGGCTAAAAGGACCTGAATGAGGTGTGACACCCTCAAGAGAAGAGTACAGAGTGAAATATGAAGAAATCAAGGCGCCAAGAACACAGGTTCCCACATACACCGGTATTCACTGCGGCCCGTTCCTACAAGAGTCGAAAGGTGGTGATGGATAGAAGGATAGATGGACACAATGTGGTGTACGCACACAGTCATTAAAAACACACATCTACTACGTGCACGGACCTTGACGACGTTATGGCGAGTGAAGTAACGCAAGACAAAGAGGCAAGTATTGTCATGATCTCACTGACAACATCTCGACTGGGCAAAGGCACAGAGGCTGGGTGTATTGGTGTTTGCCAGGGGCGAGGGGAGGAACCCAGGTAGTGTGGTAGGTAGTGTATTGGGTTGCGAACCACAAGGTTAGTAGTTCAAATCCACCACCAGCTTTGTTTTAGGAAAATGAGGCTTTCTACTCCCATAAACAGTTAAAACCTTGGAAACGTATGGGGTGGCTCTACTCCGTCCTATAGGATCGCTATGAGAATCGACCTGATGGCGTTGCGTTTGGTCGTTGATTTGGATGGGGTGAGAGAGGGGTATGGAAGAGGAGTCACTATTTAGGAAGCACTAAACATCTGTTTATCTCGATGGAAAACTTAGCAAGCATGGGACGCTGTGGGTGCTGGAGTCATGTAATGGCACATGGACAATTTGTTGACTTGGTGAGTGTTGGGTTTTGTATATATTTACCATAATAAGGCCAACAAATCTCTCTCCACAAACTCCCAAATATTGAACTGGACTGAAGCGCACTAAGAACAATTCCCCCATCAAATAAATAAATGAAGGAATAAATAAATAAGAGGCTTTCCGCTCGATGCCTGCCCCCATGAGGTGATCACTGCAGGTGTGTGTGCTATAGCAGCCTGCGGTGTGGAAAGAAGAGGTCCCAAAGGCTTGCCTTGAAACAAGCAGCCAGCTCGGTGAGGTGTCAGCTCATCCCACATGCAGCAGCACACCAGCCTGTGTGTCCCCAAATTGTAAACCACAAAGACCAAATCTGGAGGAGGGGATGGTATTGGACCCTAAATTCTGCCCGCCCAGTTTACAGAAGGCTACAGATGACTGTGAAAGCCCAAAACCCATTTGTGTGGCCCCCCCATGCAGATGAAGCCTCCGGTGAACCCCCCTGACTGTGGACCAGAGGGGGAAAGGCCTTGTTGCCAGGCAGAGTACACTGCGGGGCGGGGGGAGGGGAGGGGCGGGGGTTACTGCAGTTACAGTGGGTCAAGTGGTGGTACCTTGCCATCAGGCCACCCTCTTGACCTAACACATACTAGTTCTAGCTTTTCACGTTTTCTGCTTTGTTTCACGATTGAGGGAATTCTTCGTTTCATGCTGCCATTGGTGTTGGGCTAGTTGGTGGTGTTTGGTTTGGATTTTGTCTGTTTTGCTGCATAGGAAACCCAGGCTAGGTAAACCAGGAGAGACAACAAGGGGATGAATAGTTTCAAAGGGCCCTGGCGGGGGAGGGGCAGAGCGCGGGCAATGGGGAGCTACCAACAAGGAGCACAAGGAAGAAGAAATGTTCTGGAATGGAAGGGGCTACTGGTTCTGCAAGGCTTCTGGAAGCGATGAGCTACTGAGATGTATAATAGGTGAGCTGTGCGTTACTGAAACGGTTGAAATCAAACTAACTAATAACAAAATAAATAAAAGGCTTTTTTGTATGGCCCCAGAGGAGCCCTGGTGGCACAGGGGTTAAAGCACGCGGTGGGGAATGACAGGATGGCGACTGGAACCCACCAGCTGCTCTGATAGAGATGGGGTAGGCTGCAGAGGCCTACAGCTTGGGCCACCCCAGGGGGTCGGTTCTACTCTGTCCCGTAGGCGTGATGAGCTGGAATCCACTCTACAGCCGTGGGTCTGATTCTGAGTTTGGCCACAATACGAGGGTGTTTCTAAAAGTTTGGGGAAGCGTTTCATTATCCTTCCATTCTGTCCCCCCTGCCCCCCGAACATTTTGTAGCCCCTTTTTGGGGGGCCTTCGGCAAACATCGGATGTGCTTCGGCCATCTAGTTTCCTGGCTCCGAGCTGGATGGAAGGCAGTCAGAGGAGAGCAATTGGGAAGGGGGGGTGCGGCAACAGTCCCAGACAGGGGAGTCCTGAGAAAAGGCTAGTTGAGGAAGGGGAAAGGCTTGAACTCCTGGAGTTTAGCTGACTGCAGCCTTTCGTGTAGAGGCGGAGCAGGGCAGGGCACCTTCCGGACCCCCCTTGGCATGGTGGTCACGAGGTGACCCGCTAACCGCAAGGCCAGTAGACGGAAACCAGCAGCGACTCTGGGGAATGGCGAAGCTTGCTGCTCCCGCCAAGAGCTATCCTCTCAGAAACCGGCAGGGGCCGTGCTGGCGAGCATAAGGTACTCTAGGGCCACCATCGGTCCCAGTCCATAGGAGGCTGCAAGGGAGGGATCCCATTATAGGCTGTGGGTATGGCTGAATGCCTGTCAGGTGCTTGCCGATTAGTTCCCCGACTCCCCAGAAGGAGTAAAATACGCTTGGCGTGGGCTGCAGTCAACCTGTGGTCAAGGTGCTGTCAGAGTTGGCTACAACGAACAGAGCCCAGGTTCCCAGGCTGCAAAACCCCACTGCATTGGAAGCCGTCTACACTTCACCGCACTGCTAGGTGCATGACTGGGCCATTTCTTTTCCAGCCGGTGGAAGCTGAGGCAGATGAAACCTTTCTGCCTGCGAGCAGCTCTGGGCTCTCTCCACATCTGAAGACGAATCTGGACAGGCCAGGCTGTGCTCTCTATTTTAACCAGTGGACGCTATTCTACAGCCTTCTCTCGGCATTAGTACTTCTCCTGGGTGACCAGCCCCACCCGCTCGCTTCCTCGGCTTTTCCTAAATGTGGAGCGTTGTTGCAGAGAAATACTTACACTGGGCTCTTTGAGGGGCCTTGCGGGTCGATTGTACCAAGGGATAAGTTGGGGGTGGGGCAGGGGCATGGGCAACTTCTCTAAACGGAACTGCAACAATTTGACAAACTCCTGAGCATGCAACCCTACAGCCAGGGTGTGGGAAATCAAGTTTTATGGGGACACAGCCATATCTGTCTGTTCGCAGGTTGTCTAAGGGCAACCTTCTCACCACAACGGAGGGTTGAGTAATGCTGACAGAGACCCGCAGGACCACAAAGACTCAAACAGTGACCGCCTGATCTTTTCGAGGTCCAGCCTGCTCAACTCTGGCTTAACATATTGGAACTCAGCCTAAGATTTCATTTGAAGTAGTTCTCCGTAAATACTGGTTGACTGGCTGGAAGGGTTTCAGGAGTCGATACAGCATAAAAACCACTCTTTCTAGTTCTAGGGTGAACTGATAGCTGGGTCTAAGCTGTACTCTTTCTGTCATTCATAATTCACCACCTTCAGTGCAGGGTGGGGTGAGAACAAAAGCATCAGTTGCTTTGTCCCAGGAAATGCAGACTTGGCTGGGACTTGGCCCGGAACCCCACTCTCACCCATGCATGGGGGACACACTGGCACGCTCTTAATCTAAGTCTCTGAACATGACTTGTTCCCGCCTAGGTCTCTGCTTCCTTGTCCCCAACGTCCCCTTTCTGTGCCAAGAACCAGGCCTCCCTTCCCCTCCCGCTGCACCGGTGGGCCAGTCCACTCTTCTCACCTGTGCGTCCAGCTCCATGATGTGGGCCACCTTGTTCCAGCCAAAGCCCACGAACCTCCGGTCGTACTCTGGGCAGTCCCGTCTCACGACAACGTATGGCTCGAAGTCGGCCTCCCATTCCACCCGGTAAGGCGTAGTGGCGGTCCGCCACTTGGCGAAGTTTGTAGGTGCGTGGCCTTTTGTCCAGACATGGTACCTAGGACGCACGGAGACATGCCGTTGGGAGGCGGCGAAGGAGGAGCTGAGTCTGTGCTGACCCACCTTGTGTGTGCATTCCTCATGGGGGACAAGGACAGAACAACTTCCAAGGCTTAGCATCCAGAAAAGGAAGACCACTAGCAGGAGGACATAATGGTGTCCAAGGGTTTGCTGCAATCCCCAGCTTTCCAAAGGGCATGGGAGGGCAGGGAAAACAGTCACATAAGTGTGCTTGTGGGCACATCAATACCACATAGCTACTGGTGGGCTGCATGGATTGAGGTCAGGGCCATGACTGGGACACGTGCCTTATGCAAGGCAGAGGAGCTGACAAAATGAGTCTGGGGGCAACCCCGAGGCAGTCAGGGCATGACTCATAGCTATGTGATCCCCGTGACAGTGATGGCCATGAAGGACACAACAAGGTAAGAACCTGAGGAGATTAGTCCCCCCTAGGCTAGTGAGCCGGTGTCTGTGTGTG